TTACATATAAAACTCCGCAGCAACACATCCACAGATAACTTGGACGGTATAGCGTGTGCGACCGATTTAATGAGCCACAAATGAGAAGTAGTGTTTAAACAGTAAAACTACAAGGCGCAGCTAGCTATCTTGGATTCTGAACTCGGGATCCTCTGTGTTGCTCCGAGACATTTCTCGGATCTCCGAGAAACGGGAGCGTATGTCGTTACTTCTGGCTTCAAAACTCCGGAATCCGACTCGGAATACGAGTTCCGAGGGCAAATGGAACACACCAAAACTGCCCGAAATGGGTTGACAGAGACATTTCAGGGATTTTTAATCATTCTGCGTTGCACATGGGTTAATTGCGTTAAAAAATTTAATCAGATTAATCACGATGATGGATTAATCCACGTTAACGCGTTAATTTCGACAGCCCTAATATATATATATATATATATATATATATATATATATATAATATATAAATTTATAAATATAAATAAGACACATTTTTGAGCTCTGAAAGATATGTATAATTCAGTGTTGTGTTCGAATCCACCTTAGTAGAGTCTGAGCCAAGACCGTGTCTGTAACAAATCGAGTCAAAACCATGTACCAGAAGGTGGGTGAGTCCAAGACGAGACGGAGTTCATTTCTGGACCTGGCTGAGTCAGAGACAGGGAAAACACAAGTTCAGTTCTGGACTATGAATTTGAATTTCAAAACTTTGAATTGAAAACTAAAGAAGTACCTCAAAATTTTACATTAAATTTTTTTTATAAATACTTATAAGCAAAGTTTAGAATTTTTTTCAGGTAAGAAATAAATGATTTATCGAACTCAAAAGTAACAAACATACCTCCACTGCATCCTGTAGTAATTATTTTATTGTAACATGACTGTCTTATGGAGAAGACATTTAAAATTGGCCTTTTCGTTTAACTAACTTTCTATTAAACATAGAGCGCTTCTCCACCGCACAAAGTACGGAAGTTTCGTACGGTACTTTCGATACTTTCGCTTTTCCATTGACTTCCGGTCGAGTACCAGTACCGAAATCTCGAGTACCGAAAGTGCCAAACCATTTGGGGTACTTTGGGGTGGGACTTGCAAACGTATTTGTTGGTTATGCAAATAGCCTGCCGCTGAAACACAAAATACAACCGCCATCTTTTGAAACACACAGCGAACAGAGCGATCGCAGCGAGAAACAAAATAAAAAGCAGTAGAAACAAAAATATTAAAGTAAAATGGAAGGATGGACGAACGAAGAAACACAGGCTTTAATCGCCATATGGTCAGATGAACAGATCCAGTGGGATTTGGATGGCATGACTCGAAATAAAAAAGAAACATAGGGAAACTGAATTGCCCGGAACACCGTAATACCAAGCCGCTTGGAAGAAATGGGGCACACGTGAAACACCGAACAATGCCGCTTGAAAATCAAAAAACATAATTAATTTGTAAACGTAATTGATGGCAGCATGATTTGGATTTTACTGAATCTTATACTGTGATAGAAGCTGACATAACAATAAACCGTATTTTCCAGCCTCAAGTGTTAGTTTTAATTTTGGGCTGTCAGTCAGGGGCGGTCACAGATGATGTTATTTGGCGCCGGTACCATTTTTTACGCCAGTGGAAAACCGACATGAAAGAAGTACCGAACTTTTGGAACTTTATGGAACTCTGGTAATTCACATTCCAAATCTCAAATTGATGCAAAAACTTTTTTTTTTAATTTGTTGAAATAAAATGGAACGACCCACCTTGGGCCTGAAGTTACTGGCTTTCAATAGTGAGACCACGTTCTTCCTCTGCAGAGGTTCCAGTGATCAGTATGTGGATATGCAGTCATGTCTCCGTGGTGACGCTGCATTTATTGTATTCCCCATACATATGGTTTTGGGACTGATCTGCCACTGAAGATGGTTTCTTGTTGACTTATTTTGGTCAGTGATGGTGCTAGAAAGAACAAGTCCAGATCAAGTGAGCCTGATTGCATTAATAAGTCAAAGAAAGTCAGGCTTTTATTAAGGATTTTTTTGGAGAGGTGGGAAATGTGTAGGGTATTCTTGGTCCGTGTTAGGATAACTTTGTCTGTATACTGCAGTATTTTGGTGAAATTTAACCCACTGCACCACATGACAAACCACCTCAGGGATGAGAACCTGAGTGCACCTGTGTGGCAGGTGATACTTCAGCACCACACTAGTCTGGATGGAACATTGTGAGTTTTTCCAGCGGCTGGAGTGCCAATTCAATTTTGATAAACACCATTCAAACAGTGTACCACAGATTAATGTACAGACGCTCCTCTACTTACGAACGAGATACGTTCTGAACGGCCGTTCGCAACTTGAAATTTTCGTAAGTGGTTATTCAACGTAATTTTACGAGTATTCGCAAGTACTAAGAACTAGGATGCTGGGAGTACACATGCTACACTGCTGTGCGGCGGGAGTAGCGGCCTGAAGTTGTACTAGGCGGAATTGGTGCGCAGAAAAAAACAAATGATGTTGCAGACAGGAAATGGGAGCCCAACAAACACAATTTGAACTTAGTCCTCTTAGTTCGTATGTCTGAAAGTTCGTAAGTAGAGGAGCGTCTGTATAGACAGTGTGATGGTATGAAAAATTTGATAGTGCCCAAACCTAGTGTAGGGGGGCTATAGATATAGGTTGGGGGTTTGGGAGAAGTAGGGATTCTATGAAGGGGTGGGGTTGATGGGACGGAATGGGGGATACTTGATTTTGTAGCTTGTTTCTGTGTAGCTACTTACTGTTGTGACAGATGATCAGTGTTTTCTAGAGGGATGTTTGATTTTGATGTCAGAGCTGACAGATAATCTTAAAGGAAAAAAGCAATTGACCTGTGACCTCCCCGGATCTCCCTTTTAGGACCATGAACGCCGTACGCCTCTGCACGCCGCTGCTTGTCTGGGCGACGTTCACATAATGGACCTCCTCATCAATTCAGGTATGCTGGGTCCCCCTGTCTGCCTCGGAGCACCCAGGGCTCCTCCGTCTCACTGCGTTTCTGTCTGAACCCTGCCAGGTGCTAGTGTTAATGCAAAGGACCATGTGTGGCTGACACCTCTGCACCGGGCAGCTGCCTCCCGCAATGAAGTAAGTTACAATAGTGTACCACTTACTAATAACACCATTAGCATCAATAATTATATCATTAATATCGGTAATATTCGCAGCAGTTATTATCTACAAGGTAATATTCATATTTTCCTTTGTAAGACTGCTGCTTATATAGTTTGGACTGATTTCCACCTGTTATTCAATGTGTGCGGGTCAAAAGTCTCATGCTTTCCAAGATATCTGAGAAACTGTTTATTAGAAAGATGTGGAGCTTTTACACCTGGCTGTGAAAATGGTTTTTGACGTGGAGATAATGATGCTGATATGGCGTGGTTCCGTTTCCCAGAGGGCTGTGGGGCTGCTGTTGCGGCAGGGTGCGGAGGTGAACGCTCGGGACAAGTACTGGCAGACGGCGCTGCACGTGGCAGCCGCCAACCGCGCCACCAGGTGCGCCGAGGCCCTGCTACCCCAGCTGAGCAGCCTGAACGTGGCGGACCGCATGGGCCGGACAGCGCTGCACCATGCCGCCCACAGCGGCTACCTGGAGGTCAGGCACTGTTCTGCCACACGTCTCGGTGGCTCATGGACACGCGTGTTCAAGATTCTGCCATTGGCTCAAAGTTGTCATTGTAGCTCGGAGCTCGGCTGCCTCTGTTAAATACTCCTGTAGTGAGTCTCGTCTCTGTTTTTCTGTTTAACTTTTGTGTTTGCATTTGTGGTCTCACTCCCGTGTGTTTTGTGCCCAGATGGTGAAGTTGCTGCTGAACAAAGGGGCCAATCTGAGTGCCAGCGATAAGAAAGAGAGGCAGCCCATCCACTGGGCAGCCTATCTGGGTAAAGAGCCATTTGTCATTGAGGCTGGTGTGGTGGGCCTTGCTGTCACCTGCTCAGCCTGTGTGTGTAGCATCGACATTTTATATTTAAATTGACATTTATTTAGCCGGATGTACCTAGTGTCCTTGGGTTAAGGGCCCGACAGTGATGTGATGCCACTCTGTCAGCCGTGCGACTTAAATCCATGACCTTCCAGAGAGAGGCACAGATTCCACGTGTTTGTGAGGGTTTCCTGTCCCATGTCCAAAAGGATGCAGTTTAGGTGTTTATGAATTGCCCGTAGTGTGTCATTCTTAGTGTGTGCCCTGGACTTTCTGGGCTAGGGCTCGGCGCTGACCTGTATTGGGTAAAAGGTTATGGGAAAACTTGGATGTCATTTACGCTATGAAAGCATATGCTTCGGACTCTGAAATAAGCGGAAACCCTGCTGTCTCTTGCCCGCCTCCTGCAGGGCATTTGGAGGTGGTGAAGCTCCTGGTGTCACGGAGTGCGGACACAGCCTGCAAGGACAAGCGGGGCTACACGCCCCTCCATGCCGCCGCTGCCAGCGGCCAGATAGACGTGGTCAAGTACCTCCTCCGACTGGGGGCTGAGGTGAGTCTGTGTGGGAGCTAACATGCACTCACTGACCACGTTATTAGCAACACCTGCTTATTCATGTAATTATCTAATCAGCCAATCATGTAGCAGCAGCACAATGTATAAAATCATGCAGATACAGATCAGGAGCTTCAGTTAATGTTCAAATCAAACACCCGAATGGGGGAAAAATGCAGAGTGAATGGTAGCTGCGTAGATGGAAATGCCTTGTTGATGAGAGAGGTCAGAGGAGAATGGGCAGACTGGTTCAAGCTGACTGAAAGGCTATGGTAACTCAGATAACCAGTCTGTACAACCAGAGTGAGCAGGAAAGCATCTCAGGATACACAACACAACAAACCTTGTGGCGGATGGGCTACAACAGCAGAAGACCTCGTTGGGTTCTTTTCCTCTCAACCAAAACCGGAAGGCTGAGGCTGCACTGGGCACAGGCTCACCAGAACTGGGCAGCTGACAATCAGGAAAACGTAGCCTGCTCTGATGAATCCTGATTTCTGCTGAGGCACACAGATGGTTGGGTCAGAATTTGACATCAACGGTATGAATCCATGGACCCAACCTGCCTTCTGTCAGCGGTCCAGGCTGCTGGTGGTGAAATGGTGTGAGGAATGTTTTCTTGGCACACATTGGACCAGTTCATACCAGTCGATCATCTCTTGAATGCCACAGCCCATTTGAGCATTGTCCTTTCATGACCACAACTTACCCATATTCTGATGGCTGCTTCCAGCAAGGTTTCATGAACATGACAATGAGTTCATTATTCTTCAGTGGCTTTCCCAGTCACCAGATCTGAATCTAATAGGACACCTTTGGGGTGAGGTAGAATTTGCAGGGATATGTAGCTGTCAAATCTGCAGGAATTGTGATGTAATCATGTCAGCACGAACCAGAATCTCAAAGGCATGTTTCCAACATCTTGTGATTAGTGCCATAAAGAATTGAGGCTGTTCTGAGAGCAAAGGGAGGCCCTGCCCAGTATTACTATGGTGTCCCTAAGAAAGTGATCAGTGAGTGTTTGTCTTGTGTGTATATGGTATGCCTACATATGGTAGTATTGAACTCACCTGCTTCCTTTTATAGGTCTGTCTGTCTTTTTCCTCCCATGGTGTCTACCCCCCTTGCTCATTCCCCCATAATCCATTGCCTGTTTTCCCTCTTCCCCCTCAGATTGATGAGCCCAACGCCTTTGGGAACACGGCGCTGCACGTGGCCTGTTACACCGGCCAGGAGGCGGTGGCCAACGAGCTGGTGAACCGCGGCGCCAACGTCAACCAGCCCAACCTGCGCGGATACACCCCGCTGCACCTGGCAGCCGTGTCCACCAACGGGGCGCTCTGCCTGGAGCTGCTGGTCAACAACGGGGCCGACGTCAACATGCAGGTGCGCTGCATACGTGCTTGTGTAGATCCAGCAGGACGTGCCAGGGCCTACTCGCACATTTAGCATATTTTGTCCTTTTTTTTTTCTCTCTCTTTCCAGAGCAAAGACGGGAAGAGCCCCCTGCACATGGCTGCCATTCACGGACGCTTCACTCGCTCCCAGATCCTCATCCAAAATGGTATAATGAGTAGTGAAGTGATGAACACACCCCAAAACAGTGATGTACAAACCAGTTCCCATGGATGCCCCTTCAGCTCTGTCGGAATAAGATGAACTCTCTGAAGGGAGATGTGTTTGTGAAGGACATTAGAATGTCTTCCTGACAGGTGGTACTGTAAACCCAGATATTTCGACACCAAGTCTCAACCCTGTTTCCTCTTGGTCACAGGTGGGGAGATCGACTGTGTGGATAAATATGGCAATACTCCTCTTCACGTTGCTGCTAAGTATGGCCATGAGCTGCTCATCAGCACCCTGATGACCAATGGCGCTGACACGGCCAGGTAGGGGCAACTTCTCAGGGCCGGTGGGGGGTGGGCTAATGAGCTATAACATGGATCATAGGTTCCCCCTTGCTTTTTGGAAAGAGCTGTTGTATGTGTGTGAGGTCCTTGGCTTGTGGTTGGTATCTTCTCGCGTTGATAGTACCTCTTTCCTGTCTTCAGGCAGGGGATCCATGGCATGTTCCCCCTGCACCTGGCAGTGCTCTACGGGTTCTCAGACTGTTGTCGCAAGTTACTCTCCTCAGGTGAGTCTGTTGGCCACCGTGCCCAAGCACACGCCTATGCTGTGATTGGCTCAAACTTAAGATTTTATGCTCTTTGATGCTGGAGTCCCCCTGTCCAGCAGCGCTTCTCAGATCCATATATACGTCATAAGTATAAGAGGACATCTGTGTTTTGCAGTTAGCTATAGAATTCTTTTCTTTGTGTCTACTGTTTGTCACTGGTCCAGCTTTTGTGGTATAGAAAACAAGAGGGCAGAGATTTGTTTTGTTGACTGCCTTTTCCTTTTCTAAATTTTCTATAGAGCAATGTACATGGGAATAATTTTAACAGACAGTCTCTAGGAGTAACATTAATGCAGAGTTTGACATATTTCTGTGCAAAGGATGTCAGGCAGATGGTAGATGTATTCCTTGAACACTAACAACATAAGTCTTGGGTTCAAATCTCAGGGAGCACACACAAATTGTAACCTTTCTTCTGCTGCAAGTCTTTTTGAATAAAAATGTCAGGCAAATGAATAAATTGTGAATGTACACCATGTTCGGTTGTAAATCTGCAGAGGCAGTCAGAACAGGCAGGTCCAGGCCCTGAAGTGTGCACCCCAACATCTTCCCTGACCAACTTTGAAAGTGTTCTAGTAGCTTTCTGGGGTGCTCCGATTTTAAACACCACCCCGCCCCCCTTCTCCTTAGGTCAGCTGTACAGCATTGTGTCGTCTCTGAGCAATGAGCACGTGCTCTCAGCTGGGTTTGACATAAACACCCCGGACAACCAGGGGAGGACCTGTCTACACGCTGCTGCTTCGGGAGGGTGAGTGCTGCTGCGTCTGTCCGTCTCTGTCCGTCTCTGTCCGTCTCTGTCGGTCTGCCTGCTATTTACCCTCCCATCTCCTGTCTGCTTCACAGAAACGTTGAATGTCTTAACCTGCTTTTGAGCAGTGGCGCCGACCTGAGTAAGAAGGACAAATTGGGAAGGTACGAGAGGGCTGGGCCCAAGGAACCTCCCCTTTCAGCGCCCTCCTCCCCGTTTACTAATGATGACTGAAACGATGCTTAATGAACCATTTGCCGTATTTTCTGACCCCACTAGATGGAGCACTCTGTTCAAGAAAGGCTTAAAGCATGTCCCAAAGTAAACCAAGAGCACCATCTAGTGGGGTTAGAAAGAACAGCAAATGGTTCATGGAGCATCATTTTGGCCATCATTACTGTTTAGCGCACCTGCTTTTTATCCACCTTGAATGAGCTTGTATGACCTTCCCCAGGACCCCCTTGCACTATGCGGCAGCCAATGGGGGCTACCAGTGCAGCGTGGCCTTGGTGCGCGCCGGGGCTGAGGTGAATGAGCCCGACGGCAAAGGCTGCTCCCCGCTGCACTACGCTGCTGCCTCCCAAGCCTTCCGCCGGTGAGTGCACATGCTAGTGTACAATAGGCGTGGCTAGTGTGTGCCATTATTGTTAAAATACTTTGCGTGTTCAGAAATGCCTTAATGGCTTTGAATAATAATATAATAATACTTTATTATAAACTGTGGCTCTTCCAGGGTGGACCGACATTACTCTGGGAGCCAGCCAACTGAGGAGGAGAAGGCAAAGGAGGCCTTTCTGTGAGTCTGACTCATACTTGATTAGCAGCTCTTTTGCTGCCGTGTGAGGCGCTGCATGGCTGGGCTGCAGGCAGCACTCCGGTTGTTTCTGCATTTCTCTGGAGGGGGGAGATGAGGTCTCGGCTTTGGCTTGACAGAACCCGAACAGGCCCCGTTTCGCGCAGCCTGGCTTTGGGGCCGCGGTTGATGCCTGTGTCTGTCTGTACGCACAGCTGCCTGGAGCATTTGCTGGACAATGGGGCGGACCCAGCTGTGCGCAACGCCAGTGGCTACACTGCAGTTCACTATGCAGCCGCGCATGGCAACAAGCAGAACCTGGAACTGGTGAGCCCCCCAATCCCGCTGGCTAGATTCAGAATGACTTTATGCAGCCTGGAATTATGGGTCATCTGAAGGCTTTTCAAAATGCGCTATAATCTGGGGGAAAAAAGCAAACTGCTTCTGTGCAGTAGTAGTGATAATAATTAATGACAATTTATTGATCCCCAGTGGGAAATTCTCTTCCTGTCTAGCCCATCTTGCTCTCTGACACACTGACGCACATGTAGGTGAGCGTTAGCTTGGCAGCCTCCTGTAGCAGCGCCCATGGAGCTGGGGGTTAAGGGCCTCGAGGGTCCATAGACATGTGACTATTCTCTCAAGGCCGGGCTCGAACCGGCGACCTTCTTGTCACAGAAGCTTAGTGTCGCCTGGTGTGGTGTATGCTGTCGTTCAGATGACCTGAGTTAGGTGAGCTCTCAGCTGCCGAAGTGCAGAAAGGAGAGTCTTTGTTCCCAGGGGGTGTTCATGGGGAGTCAGTGGAGGCTGACAGTCAGGGCACTGTAGCTCACCTCCCCAACACACCCCCTTCCTTTCTCAGCTCCTGGAAATGTCTTTCAACTGCCTGGGAGACGTGGAGAGCAGCGCCCCCGTCAGCCCGCTACACTTAGCTGTGAGTATGGCCCGGTGTGGGAGGGGGGGGGGGGGTTCTGGCGCAGCTGTAAGTGCCGCGCCTCTGAACCGTGACTCCGCAGGCCTACAACGGCCACTGTGAGGCGCTGCGCGTGCTGGCAGAGACCCTGGTGAACCTGGATGTGCGCGACTCTGGCGGACGCACCGCGCTGTACGTGGCCACACAGAGGGGACACGGCGCCTGCGTGGAGGTGCTGCTCGCCCACGGCGCCTCCCGCCTGCTGAAGGAGCGCCGCCGCAAGTGGAGCCCCGCCCATGTAGCAGGTACTGCCCCCCCCCCCGGCTGCCTGCATTGGAGAGACGCTCGGGTGCCGACTGACCTCAGATCTCATGCTTCACTCTGTGTGCCCTCCCCCCCCCAGCTGCTCACGGCCACATAGACTGTCTGCAGGCACTGATGGACAACGGGGAGCGGGACGACCTCCCTGATGTCATCGATGCCATGGGACAGTAAGTGGAGACCCCCCCCCCCCCCGCCCATTTTTCCGGGAACTCCTCCACATTGGGCGTCGGGAGAAATGTCTGGCGGTTCTCCTCCCTCTGCAGAACCCCACTGATGTTGGCCGTCTTGGGTAGCCACACGAGCTGCGTGAGCCTCCTGCTGGAGCGGGACGCCACACCGGACGCGGGCGACAAGTGGGGCAGGACAGCCCTTCATCGGGCGGTGGGTGAATGGCCCCCTGACGGCCTCTGCCTTCCTAACTCGGCACTCGGCATCTGCTGCAGGCCCTGGCACCGTAGGCTTTGCTCGGTTCGTTGAGCTGGCGTGTGACTGGCCTCCTGGCTTGCCCTGACAGGCGGTGGTGGGCTGTGAGGACTGTGTGCTGGCCCTACTGGAGCACGAAGCCTATGTGCTGTGCCGGGACGTCCGGGGCCGTACCCCCCTGCACCTGGCAGCCTCCTGCGGCCACACGGAGCTCCTGAGCTGCCTGCTGCAGGCTGCCGCCCGCACTGACCCCCTGGACCCTCTGCTGGACTACAGCGGGTACAGCCCCCTGCACTGGGCTGCCTACCATGGTGAGCACCTCTGCTGGGCTGCATCTGCTGTCCTCTGTCCTCAGGAGGGAAATGGGTCTAGATGTAAATCCTTTGGCAGCCTTAGTAGCATAATTTGCGGCAAAGATACTTTTCCTTTGCTTGTAAGTCACTGCAAATCGCACATTTTTATATTCTTTATACTTTGTAACAGCACGTTGCAGCACCTGCTTTGTCACACTCATATCCATTATGTAAATATAAACTTACTTAAGTAATGTGGCTTCTCTAGGGTATTCCTGTCTCGCCACTGCTGTGTAAATCCGTGTAAATCCGTATTCCGTTTCATTGTGGCTTCACACTTTGCGGCCCTTTGTTTTATGTGACCTGACCTGTCTCATCTCTTCAGGGCATGAAGACTGTTTGGAAGTTTTACTTGAACACAAACCATTTAGTATCCAGGAAGGCAACCCTTTCACCCCACTGCACTGCGCTCTGTGAGTATCCCGTCTGTCAGCGGCGCCCTCGACGTGCCCCTTAACGACCTTCTCATTAAACACATCGTGCAGTCTGACGGACGTGTTCTCTGTTCTCATGCAGCATCCGTGGTCACGATGGCGTTGCTGAGCTCCTAGTCGAGACCTTGGGCTCCCAGCTGGTCAACATCCGCGATGCCAAAGGAAGGTGGGCTGGCCAAAGCGCTCTCCTCCTCTCTCCTCTCCTCCTCTCTCCTCTCTCCGCTCCCGGGCCGTGCCCTGCTGCCTCACACGCTCGCGCTGCATTACTCATAAGAGCTGCCCTCTGCCTTTGCCCGCCTCCAGATCCCCGCTGCATGCCGCTGCCTTTGCGGAGAGCCTGCCAGGGCTGCAGCTGGTGCTGCGCCGAGGCGCCGAGGTCGACGCCGTGGACCACGCCGGGCGCTCCGCCCTCATGGTGGCTGCCGACCGAGGCCAGACTGCAGCTGTGGGTCAGTTGGAGGCCAGCCAGGCCGTCTCTCCTTACAGGGCTCATATCATCATTAGTGGTTGCCATTCCTAAAATCCGTCATTAAATGCTGGACCCGGTTCTTATTTTTCTGCATCTTTGTATGGTTTTGTGGACTCCTGCAGAGTTTCTGTTGCACCGCGCCAAGGTTGACCTCTCCCTGCTGGACATGAACAAGAATACAGCCCTTCACCTGGCCTGCAGCAAGGTGAGACTGGCCGAGGGCTGCTCTCCCGGTCCAGGGAACTATGCCCTAGGATGGCAGTAATTCATTTTTATGCAGCAGGGTTGCGCCATAATGGAAGTCAGTAGTGTCTGCTTATGTGGGCAGGCGTTACTGCTGGTGCTTCTTTGACCTAGTGATAGCTGTCTCTCCTTGGCCCAGGGTCATGAGACGTGTGCCCTGCTGATCCTGGGCGAGATCCACAATCCGTCTCTCATCAATGCGACGAACAGCGCGCTGCAGATGTGAGTGTGCAGCCGTGGGTGACCCCCCCCCACTCCCGTCTCGCCGCGGTTAGCTGTGCGCGGAGCGTGTTGCCTGCATGTGCCTGACCGCCGCCTCTCTGCATGTCAGGCCCCTGCACATTGCTGCGCGGAATGGGCTCGCCGCTGTGGTGCAGGCGCTGCTCAGCCGCGGGGCCACGGTGCTGGCAGTGGACGGGGAGGGTGAGTCATGCACTTCTGTTAAAACCTTTTGCTGTTGCCTTAATGTCCTCTGGCTCAAAAGGCACTGAGGTCTGTGCATCACAGAAAAATCAGTCTCATTTTTGCCCCATGCAGATCTGGCTGTAATGCAGTTTCGGTTAGTTCTTCCTCATACTCGCCCACTTCTGGCTTGACCGCGAGCTCGCCTGACGGTCTGCCTATGTGTCCCCTGCATGCTCCCGCAGGCCACACCCCAGCCTTGGCCTGTGCCCCCAACAAGGACGTGGCTGACTGCCTGGCCCTGATCCTGTCCACCATGAAGCCTTTTCCTCCCAAAGAGCCCGCCGGCGCCACCATCAGCTTCAACCTGCTGAAGCACTGCGGCATCACTGCAGCCTGCAGTCCCATGCCCAACGGCAACCTGCGCCACGGCAACCTTCGCCACGGTTACGCCAAGGAGCGTCACGGTGCCGTCGGGGTGGACGGCTGCTTCTCCGAGTGAAGCCCTCTGCCCGCTGCCCTGTGCCCGCCGCATCCACCCTCCCGACCCCCGTCTGAAACCCGCCCCCGCCCCCCCCCCCGCCGCCCTTGGTGATGCCTGCTGACACTTGTTAGGTGTGTGTGTGTGT